ACCGGTCGCTAGAGCTCGCTTTCCTCCTCCGTCATCGGATAATTAAGTCATACCTCTGCCGGGCTAAATGTAACATATTTACCGGGTGCGCGTTCGGTCGCTCGGAACAAATGTTTAATTCCTCCCGACCCGGCGCTGCCATACACGTGTCGTTGTCCCTTCGCTCCGTACGCATCGGGTGTATCAGATTGTCTGGGAGTATATATGAGCGTATACATGTGTACTGGTGCTGTATTCAACTTGTTTGAGAATCGATGCGTGGCTGGGATGACAGAGCCACTCGATGCTCCATATGTATATATCGAATCAAATACTTTTCGCGATCCGGAAAATGAAGCGGGCGCGTGAAAAATAAAATAACAAAACCTTCCTTTTTTTTTTTTTTTTTTTTCATCGCAACACTTTTGTGGAGCCGAAGCTTTTTTACGCGCGCTCCACTTGTCGGGGCTTTAAGAAATTTTTGTTTTCAACCGTATAAGCTGGCGTTGTTAAATTTTGCTGCTCTCGCGAGCAATCGCTTGTTTTCAAAGCTCAAAGTTTGAAAGTAATGCGCGGTGATGAAGCAGCGGGACACGGCCAGTGTGAAAAATAAGTCGAAAACTGTTTTGTTTTTGAGGTATGTGCGGTATAATCTACTGTTTTACGAATATTTTTTAACATTTTTTAAACAAGTTTTTACGTTTTTCCGTTTGATGAAAATTTTCAACTGATTGAAACGTGTTAATTTAATTTGGTTCTTTGGGCCAAACCAACACATCCCAGGAACTCTGTTATATCGCTACTCATTTGATCGTTTCAATTCAATAGAAACGTATTGTTTTAGGGTATCTGATTTCGAACTCTACGTGATCGCGTTCGAGATTCATCGTAGTATCAGCTACCATATATTTTATGTACAAAAAGATAACTTTTGGATATTCAGCAGATTTTCGAATTCGTTCACGCAAACATCAAAGTTTGAAATTTAACTCTGAAGCTAAAGCGTGCGTTTTATCGTACTTGCATGACTAACTCTAACTTTAGACGTTGACGAGTATACGTGCGTCAGGCTGTGAAACAGTGGCTGTGGGGAACTACACGTGTAAAATTAACTCTGAGATTACATTTAAAGTAGATATGCAAGATGTGATTTCAATTTTGTACTTACAGTCCTACAATTTTTGTAAACCTTTAGTCGGTACATGACTTTTAAGCAAATCAGTTAACGAAATGTCGATATCATCACTTTCGACGCGCTTTGGAAGTTTACAAAATTTCGACCTATTTTTTTTCCGTTCGTACCGTTAATCAACAATAAGCCAAATTTCATTGAAATCTGAACGGTAATTGCACGTGATCCGGACCATTCCATCAATTACGCTTTCAATTTGTAAGCGAAATTGTAATTATTTCAGTTAACCTGCTCCTGCAATTTCATTAACCCGGAAACGTGTATTTCATCAAATTGCAACGAGCTCTAATGTTATTCAAAGAAGAGAACAAAGGCATTAAAAAAGTTGAAAGAGCAATTTTGTAAAACAATTACAACCTCGAGAGAGTATTACGAAAAGCAGGGAGGGATGAATTTAAAAGTAAAAAAATAAAATTACTCTATCTCTCTTTCTGTTCCAACGTGTACATACATATGTATATAGTCAGCTGAGCCGAACAACCCCGCGTTAACCACGCTCTAGCACCTATCCCTTATACCATGGCAAGATTTTCTTTTCTTTTTTTTCGCTCCTCACCCTTTTTACCGTACGGTGTTGTTGCTACGGCAGCCTCTCGTTACGCGGTCTGGCGAGTACGTGTACAAGGAGCCGAGTTCCCCGACGAGAAGAGCATGGCTGGAGCTCCGGCAAAGAGGTGGTGGGTGCACGAGGTGTGTGTTACGGAGCGAGGGGGATCTACTCGAGGCTGCTTCGGTGGACCGCGCAACCAATGAGATGCGAGACGGAAGATTTCCACGAGCAGCGTATACAGAACTGCTCCGGAGGGCTGCTGATTCGGCAAAATTAGTTAACGAGAGAAAACAGAGGATGAGCTTCTGGATTTGATTAGCCGGTGGCAGGACTCCATACAATTGTACAGAACCTCCTACTCATTATATTATTTTGTGCTGCAAGTCCGTGTCTTTTGCCATGCTGGTGCGTATACAACCAGCACTGCCTCGGGGGAGCGTTCCAATGTACGCAGCGGCGTTGATTTTGCGTTACAGCGATACCACCTCTCTGGGATGAATCCCGTGTACATGAACAATTTTTGTTTGTTTTGTTTTTCGTCTCTCATCCTGCCTTTCCTTTTCCGCGCCCAAGGGTGCGTTACGTTAACAAAGGGCCATTGATTCGCAATTGTATTAGTACCTCGAGCACTAGGTAAAAGTGGGATTTCATTACTGGATCCTTCCGTTCAACAGCTCTTGTTTAAGGCCTTCGAAATTGCCTTGTTTGTTAATTACGAAGAGCTTTCGATTGTATATTTATACGCCGTTGTTGCCAGAAATTAATATCTACCTCGCGAGAATTTCAATTACGTATATTTTACCTGAATTGCAATCGACAATGATTCGTTTTACTTTGTTCGTTATTTTCAACAATTTTAATAAAAAAAGACGGTTCCAGCTATGTGCGCGAAAAAAGCTTGCATTTTATGTATTCGCGGATATATTATATCGCAGAACGAAGGACAAATATGAAAGATGAAGGGGAAACTCATTTTAATTATTCGAGTTTTGTTGGAAAATTCATTCGTCATTTTTAATAAATTTCGCAGACATTTTTTTGATTCCCGTTTCGAATTTTTAGATTGAAAAGAAAAAAAAAAAAAAAAAAAAAAAAAAAATTTATATTGCATGTTTTGTTGAAAAACGCATGGAAAAAAATTTGCGTCAAAGTTTGCTACATGCCTTTACACGTGATGCACGACCTCTGTACATTTATGACCAGAACAAACCTGCACAGGACATTAATTACACCTTTATAAGTTGTATTACTTCAAAATACTAGAATATTTTTCTAATTAATCAGCTTTGTGAAGAAAACCAACAAGTTCCTTATTTTAATACATATTTATAAAATAAAAAAAAAAAAAAAAAACCCTGATGTTGTTAAAGTGTGCTCGTAAAGGCGTAAAGCATTACGCCTTAACGGCGCTATTCCTTACCGGCACCACTTATAATTCTATGCTCGTTTCCCGCGAACTTTATAACTGCTCCGGTCCCATAAATATTTCGCAGTTTGTTCCGGCCGGCGTTTTCTTGCTCCATCCCTTCCCTCTTCCCGCAAACGATCCTCCGCAGCGCCAAGGAAAAATCCGCGCTCGGGTAAACTGCTTTTTTTTCGCTTCAGCGTCCGCGCGCGCGTCTTCTCTCCTCTGCCAAACTTTTGGTACTCCGTACGTACGTACGTACACGCCGCGTAAAGGAAGAGCCACCCGCGTAATAAACTTGCCGGTGCAATTAGCTACGAGGGGGGGTGAAACATCTCTGGGCAGCAAATGTACACAAACACACGTAGATCAGACTTCTTATTGTTTGGCCGGCGTCCAGCGACTGGGCTGACCTCCGGTTGGAGCAGAGAGTGTCCATTACTCTATTAGCGGCTCCCGAGTAGCTGCACTCGTGCATCAGCCATTCCCACGTACATGTATATCATACGGAGCACAACGAGCAGGGCTTTTCATTGTCAAGGCTTTTAACGGTCCGCATTACCGCGACCCTCCTCCTCTTATTCCTATATATGTACTGTACCCATAATAGCATCGGAGGACAAATTCCTTGCCATCCCAAACTACCCCGGAAATTAATCAACATGTACATGTTACGTCCTTATTGTACACAGCAGCAAGTTGTTCTTATAAAATACCGCTTGGTTGCGTAGGTATACTAACCTTGTCTTTTTTTTTTTTTTTTTTGTCTGTCCATCTTATCGCCAGCAGCTGAATCGATAGCTTTTAACTTATACTATGGTCGAGCTTTGTACGTAATTCTCTATCCCATCAGCTATCCCGATAAGCGCTTCGGCACTTATTTTTGGGAAATTCACAAGTGCGAACGGCAATTGTAGAACCGCGCGCTGAAAATATACGAAATCGTGTCAAGTATCAATAATACTTGGTAGTACCTAATGGGAAGAAAAAAAGGAGGGTATTATTGAATTAGCCGAAGCAAAACGAAGCGAAACGAAGTATATGAGAGAGACAGCTGCAGCTGGTGCTACGTATAAAAAAACACACATACGCGCTTGAGAGGCGTAAGATCGGCGTATAATCAGTCGCGCGCGGCGAGAGATATGGGAGAAAACAGAGCGACAGAGAGAGATAGGCGGTAAAATATAACTGGGCTGATAGGAAAAATGTGCCCGATAGAGGGGAGACGCGTGAACATCCGGGAAATGGTAGTCCCATCCAACTTGTCTCGTCGTGTATAGGAAGTCACTTGTCAGTCACGACCCCGAAGCTTTAAATACATACAATTATTACGTTCGCGCTCATCACCACCGTACAGCTTGTAAACAATACCTTACGTATAAGTATATATATATGCTGTGTGTGTTTGTGCAATGTATAACATGATATTATCGACTGTGTGGTACACCTGCATACTTTACATGCGATGTTAAGTGTACGCTTTCTTGTACCGTGGTTTCTTTTTTTCTTCACCGACGTTTTCGCCGTTCACTCGTAAATCTCAAATATTTTGCATCGTAGGTATAAGGGTCGACGGGTGACTTTGACGCACGCGACTGCGGAAACAGTCGTGCAGGTACATCGGTGAAACAGGGCCAAACACTCTTATCGTAAATCAAACACATCGAGTCGTTAAACGCGCACAAGTGACACGATCGTTAAGTAAAGCTCGCTATCGCTCGTACCTGCATAAATTAATAATCTCTCCGTGTATACATTTCGGTCTCGCTTTCCCGTGTACTCGATATTACGTAACCTCTAACAGCTCGTTGGAAAAAAAAAAAAAAAAAAAAAAAAAAACATGCTAACGGGAGCCCGTGTTTTTTTTTTTGCAGATACCAGTGAGCAGCCACTCACCAGATGAAAGATTAGAAGAGCAGCGACGTGGCAGTATCGAGGCAGGCCGAGCATGCGGTGTTCGCCCAGAGCAGAAGGAGCCCGGCCCAGGAGTTATATCCGCAGGCCTCGTTAGCCAGCCGCGGGTGTCCGCGGTCATGACGAGATAACGGCACGACGGTACACGCGCAGAGAGACCAGCAGCGTCGTCGGAGAGATAGTTATTACGCGCAGGTCTTGGGGACCCGGTCGAGAGGGACGAGTACATAGCAGCCACCGGTTTCACAAGGGCGACTCGTTTTACGGCCATGGCCTTCCCGCGGCGGCGCAGCCTGTGGCTCAAGGTCGCGATACTCGCGGCTGCCGTGTGGCTGACGGTCTGCTTCTTGCTGTACACCGAGGACCGGGCTGCCGTCGGGGTCGTCGACTCGAGCCTCCAGCAGCAGCAGCCCCTGGCGCAGGCCCAGCAAGGCATTGCCTTCGCCAATGGCTTTGTGCCCGCCGTGCCCCAGAGCTCCAGGAGGGAGTCGCACAGCAGCGCGTCCAAGAAGCTCGAGCACGCCGGTCCCGAGCAGGGTAAGGCCACTCTTCCCCACCCCCCTCCCCCTCTCACGCTTTTCCACGACATTCGTGTCCAATGATTTGGGTTTTCGGGTGGCAGGTGGTGGGGTGTTGGTGCCGCCTCAGGACCAAGACCTCGCGCGCCCGGGTGAGATGGGCAGACCGGTCGTCCTGCCGAGCAACCTCACCACTGAAATCAAGAAGCTGGTGGATGACGGGTGGATCAACAACGCCTTCAACCAGTACGCCAGCGACATCATTTCCGTTCACAGGTCACTGCCGGATCCACGGGACGCTTGGTGAGTTGTCCTATTGAAAAGATACCTTAACCTGCATGACCCGCGCAGTTGTTATTTTAAAAGTAAAAGTTACAAGGGATGTACCTACCGAGTCAATGACTCCCATTTATATTTTTTTACCTGACCCAATTCTGTTTGCTCGGAGGATCCTTTTGTATCCCTACATAATATATAATCGTCGAGCTGGAACTGTGATGCGTATTGACTTGTTGAATACGCGCGTACTCTGTAGCACAGCGGCGCGATCGATAAAAAAGATGGGTATCCGTCTAAATAAATAACTCGAGGGAGCGACCGTAACAAAAATGCGGCGGGTACCTATATAGGTAAAATTCTTATGGGAAATCAAAAGTATCGGCGCCGTGACCCATCCCTTCCACGTACAGGTATGGCTCGTCCCCCCTCCGCTTGTGGCACAAAGTTGCAGGGCGTGCTCGTGAATTCACGCGTTTTACTATTGTACGAAAAGTGGAGGTGGAGTCAACTTTTTCCCGTTGTGTACTTGTGGAGGCTGGGTGGTGTCGTATAGCAACCGCAAGTTCGGTGCTCGAGCCAGCCTGACCAACGAGGCTTCCCCCCTCCTTTTCGAATATTAATTACCATCGTCAGCTAAGTTAACCGACATTATCAGGACCGGCAAAGTCGCTGCGACACTCGGAGCTGTCGCGGTTGGCCTCTCCCATACATAATTCTCGCACCCCGATAACTCGAACCACCCCCTCCCGTTGCCCCGTACAGGTATATATAACTCAAGAGTAGATACATACCAGACACCAGCAGCTATGCGTTTGATACGAGCGAAAACTGAGTCACGCTCTATTGATTTGCCTTTTCCGGGCTCTCGGTCCCCTCTCGCAATCCACTGCTGTTTCCTCCTCTTTACTTTACAAGTAATACCCCCCCCCCCCTTTAGCTCGCGCACGGCTGATGATTAATTTTATTGCCCACGTGACGAGAATACGAAATTCCGTGCCGTGTTTTCCTCTTTGGCTTGTCTATACGTCTATAGGTATATGGTACGTGGTATATGTGCTTACCCCTGCCGGCTTACGGGACAATTTAATTAGCGTTTAATTTAAACTGATATCGGCGCGTACGCCGCGGGAATACGTTGTTAACGGTCATTCATTCATTCATCTATTCCTTTTTTTTTTTTTTTTTTTTTTTTTTTTTTTTTTTTTTTTTTTTTTNTTTTTTTTTTTTTTTTTTTTTTTTTTTTTTTTTTTTTTTTTTTTTTTCTTTCTTTCTTTCTCTTTTACACCGCATCACGAGCTTGCTTCCATCGGTATGTTATAATACTTATGTAGAGGTATAACGGCATTGTTTGAAAATAGTTAAATAACGAGTCCAAAGTGCGGTACATCGAGGGGTGGGTTCGTCAAAAATAATTAACTATCGTGAAATGAAAGTGACCCGAGAGTGGGTATGGGTATAAAACCAACGGATTGGCAGGGACGAAGCTTTTACATAATTTCGAGCCCATAATAACGAACGCTTGGATGAATGGGGTGTATGAAAACTCCATTGAAAAGAATAGAGAAAAGTGCCAAACGGGTTTATTCTTCGGTGCGTCAGCGAGATCGGCGGAATAATAGGTGAAAATAAACAGCTGTTCCCCCCCCGCACAAGTTTGCCCCGCGGGCTCTGTCCATATCGGACGGGGCTGGACCACCTCTCTCTCTCTCTCTCTTGGTTTCATAATACATATAGACCTATCGGGTAGTGCAGTAATCACGGAAGCGTGGGTGGCCCCCGGCTCAGCGACCAAACAAACAAACGAGCATTAACTCGAGCGTCGCCGCCGCTAGCTGCTTCGTACGTACAAGCCTACAGGTACATAGGTATGTATACTGCATACACAACAAATGACTAGCTAGACGCATGTGTGTGTGTGTGTGTATGTGTAGGCAAGGCAGCACGTGTCGCTCGTTATTGCCCCGATGATGTCCCAGACACGCTAGAGTACGCGGCCAGCCATCCGAGAGCCTATCCCATTCTCCACTTGTATAGGCACACACAACTATCCGGCTTCGCTATAGTATTATATACATACAAGTACTTGATATAACTATACGCTACGCGCCCTGCACGGATACATGATTTACATCGTGATGTTTCATCATACACGCGCAGGGGTCGCGTGTAATTATTCACCGTTCGCACGACCTCGCATTGTTTATGTTGTACGCGCGTGCGAGGACCATGTAATTACATACACTCCCACGCGATTGATGCGGGCAACGTAGGATGAATTGTCAAGGATTGATCTTGACTTGTAGTATACCGACAGGTGCTCACGGGTGTATATAACTTTGTGTTTGGCCGACGACCAATCACGATGTTCCAAAAAGCCCATATTTGTTTTCTCGAAAAAAAAAAAAAATATCCAGAAAGTCTAGTGCCGATTCGTTTGGCCATCGAGCCCCTGTGCTCTCCGTAATGGTGGTGGTGGTTGTCGAGCACGGCGTTTCATTACTGCGGCCTTTGTTCGAAAAGCCACGAGCGCTAATGACCGTTATAGGCAGGTGTATACCCACGGGCGGGCAGGCAGCGAAGAGTCACTCCGGGCCGAGGCATTACAGTGGCCATCGGAGAGTTCCGAGCGACCCAAATTACACGGTCACAATATCCTGGGCGCACATTGACGGCCCAACACCGAGAGAGAATCGAGAATTGTGGACACACGCAGAGAGTCCCCGAGAGCGCGGAGCAAGCATGATGCGTGCGTTTACGGAACACTTTATCGAGTGGCCATCGGAGAGGGATGGAGGTCAACGAGGGCCGAGCCGGTGGCTAACTATACGTATATACCCGAGCACCCAACCACCCTCGCGACCTAATTGGCAACTCGGCATGAATGGAACGCGAGAGCCATTCCGGGGGGGCTGGTCGATGACGACGGGGAGACTTGTACGCGTACACCCTCTACGGGTATGTACATATATACATCCATCTCCATACCTATATATGGCTGATGTGCGAGTGCATTAGCACTAAACCGTATATACCATACACTGGCTACTCTGCATACACACGTGCACTTTATTTGCTCCCTCGTCTCTTGACGATTGCGTGTCCCGGTCTATCTGCAATTCAGTTCTGGGTGATTAGCGCCACTCCAAATTGTACTTCTCGTTATCCGCGCAGGTTTTTCTTTGCATTGTACAGGGAAGCAAAAATGCCCTCCCAAATTTCCTTTTCTAAATGTATAGTCCTCCTCCGCGGGTTTCAACATCCATGTTGAACCTTTTATCATGCAGGGCTCGGATAATCGTGGAGGGAACAAAATGAACGCGCAAAAGGGAAATTCCGGCAAAGTGGTACAAAAGTGTGCATTACATCGGGAGAGTGAAATTCACGCTGACTCTCAACGGGGAATATAATGAAAAACTCGAACGCGTTACCGAAAGTCAACATCGCCGGCACCAGCGGTTGTGGGTAAAGCTCATGAATTTGCCGGGGCTCGAGTAACGAATGAAAGTACCTACCACCGATCCCATTAATAATTTACGCCATCAGCTTCGGGCTTCTTCCCCATATCGTGTATTAACTCCATCTCCCCGCAGCCTATGTATATAACCGCGCTGCTCTTTTATTTTTTAGGACAATCATTGGATTTTTTTTTTTTCAATCCACAAAATAATAAAAAAAAAAAATTGTNTACTTTCATTAATAATCCACAGATATACCTCAACTATATGGTTATTTATGTAAGGAATTCTACACAAACCTTTAAGACCTTCTATAGCCCTCATATAAGATACTTCAAGTAGATTAATTTTTTTCAACTACAATCTTTTACAAAAACATACCATTCGAATGATGAAACACCCAGTGAATGGAACTGCGAAGGAATGCGTAAATGCGTATAGAAAAAAAAAAAAAAAAAATTACAGCTGCATCGGATAAGCGCGAGATAAATGTTTTGCCATCAGAGACAGTCGCGCAGTGGCAGGACAGCAGGGGGTGTCTAATTTGTTTTTTTTTCCTTTTTTTTCCGCTGGGGCCAAACAGAGGGGGCACAGAGCGCCATTCGACATCTGAAATAACAAATAGCCTACGTGATTCCGACCGCAACGGCCTCGCCGGATAGGGGATGGGATGGGAGCTCCGCACTATACGGGAGTGTAGAGTATAGAAAGCGGCTTCTGTGTCGCTGTCCGACTGTACCACGGTATACATACACGCGCGCGGTAGAACAGCAACAGCGAAGGTGGTGGTGGTGGTGTACAGCAGCGTTGCCGCATCCGCGGGAATGCATGGCAAATTGCTGGGAGATAGCGGAGAGTAGTAGGTATACCCACTCTCTCTCTCCCTTCCTCTCACTGGTAATTGGATTTTCCGAATGCCCGGAATACACGTCGTTTCCTCGCCGCGCGGTCCGAAGGAGAAAGGATCCAGCCTCGATTATCCCCCCGTCTATTTCTATGTGAACGCCTCTCCTGCCGATGCTGCACCGATGCCCCTGGCTGTGGCTATGTTTGGCCTCCCCAACGACTATACCTGTGCCACTCGCCGGCCACAGTTGGACGGGCGCTTTATCTCCGACCCCCGCGGCTCCCGGAACCAGCCAAACTCTTCCGATGCCGGCGTGATTTTTTTTCTCCACCCCCCCCCCCACATCTCCCGATAGCCAATCTGTGACGGCTCGTCGATGGCCGGATTAATTTGGCCGTTACCTATTGGCCACAACCACCACCATCATCGCTATTTAATCTATAGCTACAAGACGTACATCACTTCTTTCTCTCATTTTTTCCCCCCAAGTATACTACAATTAGTACTATTAGGTACCTACGTGTATGTGTAAAAAAATGATATTCCATATTTATAAGAAAATTCGTGAAAAGTTGAATCGTCGCGTCAAATGTATTTGAAATAAAAGGCATCGGTAGATTGGAGGGATGTACGTATAGCGACAAACAATGGATTATTAGCTGCGACGGTGATGCTCCTTGAAGCGAAGACTATGACTCAACGTCGACAACAAGAGCAGCATC